GTCCAGTACGGGGGCAACACTGAGGGTTGCAATCCGTTGCCGGACACGGAAAAAGACAAAAAGCAAAAAAAAAAAAAAAAAATTGTAATTAAAGCAGAAAATGTGGCCAACAGTTCCAGCACTGTAACTCATCAAATTGCTACCAGATAAGTGAGTGAGAGGTTAAATATCTTAGTGGGCTGTTCACAATGCACTATGTCATCAACTAGAGACCATGAATCCAACCTCTCTCATTTTACAGATGAAGAAACTAAGACCAGAGAGGTTACGTGACTAGCCTGGAAATCATACAGTCATGAAGGCTTAGGTAACCTGGCTCCTTAGACAACAAATCCTTTAACAAGTGGGATTCCAACAGTCAAAAGAAAGTGTAGTAAGTGAAATGGAAGTGAGACGAAGACTCCTACTCACAACAGCTGATGCAAGAAAAATCTATATCTGCATCAGAGCATAGGACTCGCTTTTCAGGTATTCCCTTTGGCACAGCCTACAAAAGGGCACACCTGAACAGCCAGCCCTACACCCACTCTGTATAGTTAAACCAACAAGAAACAAGCAACTAAGAAGTGAAACACGTTTTTATGCTTGAGAAATCCCTTTCATGTTTATACTTTATGAAAGTCAATAGGACTTACTTCAATATTCTCCACAATTCTTGTAACTACCGAGGCAGTAACTGAATACCAGTAGGATTCCCCTTTCTGCTGGCGTTCATTCTACAAAGGAAAGAGCCAGTGTTAGCAGAATCTAGTGCTTTTCTCATCTCATGAGCATCATAACTGCTCTTACGGCCAAAGGATCTCTGCCTTGCCTTCCATTTCTCCTCCAAGGCCTGAAGAAGTGCTTTCTTGCGTTCTCTTTCCAACAGCTTCTCCTTTTCGTCATTGAAATCCTGAATTTTTTCTGGGGCTCCAATTAAGTGAAGGCTGGAGATGGAGATCACCCAAGGGTCCACATGGGGGCGATAAAAGGGAATTTGAAGGGTCGCTTTCCCAATGAAGCCTGGGAGGAGAAAGAAAATCTTGTTAAATGTGCCTGTATACATTTTTAATTTCCATTTTTCTGTATTTTCCTAGTTTTCTTTATGGAGCATGTATTACCATTACAATTTATTTAAGAAAAACAGGCAGCAGGCTCTTGCCCACGTGAAACAAGTGTTAGTAGGCTAAGATCTGTAAGAATGAGGCATAATTAATTAGAAGCTGGAAAAAATTCAGTGAAACTTTATCATATCAGGGGGCTCGCTGCTTAGCTCAGCTGGTAAAAGTGCAGCCTTGTAACACCATACCAGCCAGCCACCAAAAGAAGAAAAATAAAAAAGACTTTATGATATCAAATGTAACATCTCTCTCTGGAAACTATCTCTTCCCCAACTGGACTACTTAAAATACCTTGGGGTGTCTTTCTCCCCACGGCACCTGCATGAGCCCACAGACACAAAATTCATTTCTTGTTAATTATTAATTAGCTGGTGAATAAGTGCTTGTTGAGAATTATCAGACCTATAATATATCCAATTTTGAACAGAGGCATCACAAACTGGAATGCAGGTAACACCGCACTGTCATTGTATGGATAAAGAACTCTATTCTTCATGAGAACCTGGGCTGATAAGAAAGCTAGATGGCCTGGTAGAGTTGTGATACTTATTTCCTAAGTTCTTCCATTTCTAGCCAAGCCTCTTAGAACCCAAGCTTTCTTTAAATTCAAGTTATAAGAGGCAAGTCAGCACTACAGGAATAATGCACAAGAACATCTGAACTGTCCCAAACTGTCTCAAAGATCCACACAGGGCTGACTGGTGAGCTAAGCTCATGAGAGCGTGGTGCTGATAACAATAAGGTCCAGGGTTCAATCCCTGTATCTGCCAGACACCCCCCCAAAAATACAAAATAGGCTATTGTTGAATGATAAGAGATATCTGAATAGGGACTAATTTTCTAAGTGATCATTCATCAGTGATTATTTTTATTCTGTGACAATTCTTGTTCCTTACTCAACCCAGTACCTGCAGAACTGCTATAATTGCTAACATCTACTGAGTGTGCCAGGCAGTGTTCTCAGTAATTTTATATATTAACTCATGTATTCCTCTCAACAATCCCATGATGTCTCATCTTAAAGATGAGGAAGCATACACAGAGTGGCTAGGTAACTTGTCCAAGGTCACAGAGCCAAAAAATGGCAGAACTAGAATATAAACCCAAGCATAAATTTCTAGAACCCACCTCTTATGCAATAGAGTAAACTATCTCTCAGTGATAGCTATCATACATTCTCTGAGAATAAGAACCCGCTATATCTAGAACAGAGGTTCTCATACTTTTAGTAAACATAAGAATCACCTGGGTGCTTATTTAAAATGCAGATTCAATGATCTCCCTCAGAGATTCTGACTCAGTAGCCTAACCTTCCCATCAACATCCCAAGGTCATCCAAATAAAATTGGCCCAGAGATCACACTTTAAGACTGATTATCTACTACACTGCTGCAACTAGTAAACATGCCATCACTCTCCTCTACCACTGTTAAATTAAATAATCATGAATTTTATAACTGGCAGGTCTGAGTTTGAGCCTGTCGAGGAGACCATATGCTCTCTGGACAATGCTTGTGTTCTATGTGACAGATACTTTACATCCATTTCTCAGGATAATTCAAAGTTTTTGTTTCTTTGCTTTTTGGTCACTTTAAACAAAAAGAGTCCTATTACAGAAATGCCAATGAGTGATCTAAACTCTAGCACTTCCTGTCCTTCCTCTTCCTGATCAAACAGATGCAAAGTCCAGGGCTCTCAGTTTTCATGTCCCAAACAATTTAAGGCTCAAAACTTCCTCCCTCTTTTTCAGTTCCACATACCAGCTTTGACTTCAAATGGTAATTCCAGTTCTTTCAAGGCATCTTTCTTTAATGGCAAGTTTTCTAATTCAACAGCACCTAAAAATAAAAGCAGTATCATGAAATATTTATCCAACAAATACAGTAGGTGCCTATTGTGTGCACAGCATTGAAGGTTGAAGGGAAAGTTTTACATCTAGACAGGGCTATAATAAAAGGTCATGGGTAGTGCTACCACCAGCTCATGTGCTTTACCTACACTAATTCCCAACCACCCACTCTAACATGTAAATGACAGCTGAAGCTTAGCAGCCAATAAAGAGTTTAGGCAAGGAAATAACTTTTTCTGTAAAAAGCCAGATAGTAAATATTTCACACTTTATAGGATGTCTGTTGCGTATTCTCCTTTTATTTATTTGTTTTTTACAAGTCTTTAAAAATGTAAAAGCCATTCTTAACCTGCAGGCAGATGTGGCCCAGTTTGTTGACCCCCAGCTTAAGCAAATATTTACCAGAGGATCATCAATATCTGACTCACCTAGGACAAAATTCAGGCTCCCACCCATAGACCTATGAAATCAGAATCTCTGGGACTGAAACACAGGAATCTGCAATTTTTAAAAAGCTCCTGCCACCCTCACCTGCCCCCCACAAAAATATTAGCATAAAGCACACACATTCGAAAGCCCACAGTTTAGTTAAATAAAACTGGTCATCTGACTGGTATCATTGCTTACAAAAGTGTCTTGAACTTGACTGAGCTTATGATGAGAAATAAAGATTATTTTTCTTAAAAAAAAAAAAAAAACTAGTCATCAAAAGAAATTGTACTCTCTCTTCTGGAGAGACCACCTCCACCCGCAGGTCTAATAACCAGTCAGAAAGCACAGGACTGAACAGAACCAGTACTGAAGGTCGTTTTCAGACTCAACTTTTATGATGACTTAAATGCAAAAGTGCCTAGAAGAGAGGGCAGCTAAATCTCTCACTCTCCTGGCTATGCAAGTCACTCACACATATACCGAGCCCTACTCTGTGCTGGGCAATGTGCTGGCCACTGGGAACACAAAAAGAGAAGGCAAGGTCCTCTCCCCCAAGTTGCTAGGAAGATAGCCATCATTTTACAAAATTTTTTACACAACACAAGACAATCTCTGAGCCACTTAAATCTGTCTGAGATATATATTTTCAAGAACAGGGAGTACAAACAACAACCACTAACTGGTAAGAAAACAGAGAAGAACGGTAGGCAAGCCTTTTACTTCGAAGATAAAATACAGGAAACTTGATTATTTTTCCCTTTAAATAACTATTCAGGACTTGTTCAGGTAATTGCCTTCTAAAGAAGAATTAAAATCTAGCAATTTGGCAGATTCTGAGCTAATACCAGTCAACATATTTTTTATTTTTGTGAGAACATTTGTCCACATGGGGCCCCACATACCTATTAAGACTAACTAAAAGGAAACATTAAAAACTCCAGCAAAACAACCCTATTTCCACATTTGGAGAGAAAATGATCACAAGGGGAAAAAAATCATAAAACCTTTTCCTTAGTTGAAATTGACCAAAAGAGACAAGTTTCTTCTTTTGAAGAGCATCATTTGCACTTGGAACTGCCATATTTTCCCAATACCCAAATCTGTCACAAAGGCAGGTGTGCCCTGGCTTTCCCTGGCTACTGTACAGCCCTTTTCCTTAGTTGAAATTGACCAAAAGAGACAAGTTTCTTCTTTTGAAGAGCATCATTTGCACTTGGAACTGCCATATTTTTCCAATACCCAAATCTGTCACAAAGGCAGGTGTGCCCTGGCTTTCCCTGGCTACTGTACAGCCTTGGGGAAGTAGAAGGAGTTGTAGGCAACTTAANCCAATACCCAAATCTGTCACAAAGGCAGGTGTGCCCTGGCTTTCCCTGGCTACTGTACAGCCTTGGGGAAGTAGAAGGAGTTGTAGGCAACTTAAACCATGAAAAATTAAATAAGCGGAAGCCCAGAGGACAAAGGAGAAAGTCTAAAAAGGAGAGGAAATAGGGGAAAGAATAAGAAGAAACAACAGCCTATAGCAAGCCAAAAGCAAAGGAATCATATAAAACAACACAGCCGAAACAACACAGTCATTGTTACTAAAGGCTTCCTGATCTACCACCCACTCAAATATGCACCCACAAATGGCCCTGCTGGAAAAAGTCCCTCCAAGGAGCCAGGCAGTAAAGCACCCAAAGTAGGTGAGTACTTCATAAACGATAACGTTGTTCATTTATTTCCAGGCAGACAATTTAATGGCTTATTCAAGGATGTCTCATCTAAAACTTCATCTCAGATTAGCAAGAAATCTATTCACTACAAATGGGATGAATTTAAAGGTTGGTCATTTTTCTAATGACTACTGAATTCTCTCCCCTCTGCTCCCAGTATTTAAAGGGCCAACCTAAGGTTCAGAGCTTATAAAAAGAAAAAGGAGGGAGAATTGAAGTTTTGGGCTATGAATTTACAGATCTGTAGAGCTCTGCCCATAGAGCAAAGCTCAGACTCCTTCACATGGCACTGACAGTTTCTGCCTTCCGGACTCAAACCGCTGCAAAATATGCCCTGCAAGTTTTCAGCCTCTGCTCACAGGCTTCATTCTCCCTGGAATATGGTGACCCACCCCATGCCACCTATTGAAATTCTGTTAAGACCCACTCAAAAGCTAACCTTCATAATAGCTTTCCCAGAGTCCTACAGATACAATGAATGGCTCCCCTCCTATGCACCCCACTGCATTGTGCCTATATCTCTAGCATAACAATTTAATATACATTGCCCTTGTATTACTGTAATCTGTCTCCCCAACAGGTTAACAGCTCTCTGTGGGCAGGGACTATAGATGTGGAGATGAAACAATAATAGTAATTGCAGCTATCACTTAATGAACTCTTACTACATGCCAAACATGTCATATGATTATCTCATTTCAAACTTACAATAATACCAGGAAATACTACTAGTTTCTCAATTTTTGAAATGAGAAAAATGAGGCTTAGAGGACAAGCAATTTGCTTAAAAGTCATAGAGCTGGTAAGCAGCTTCAGTAACCTGCCCACAGTCACAGACAGCTTATCGTGGTAAAACCAGGGTCAGATCCTAAGCCCCCCACCTTTTTTTTTTGGCAGCTGCCCGGTATGGGGATCCAAGCCCTTGACCTTGGTGTTACAAGGCTGTGCTCTAACCAACTGAGCTAAAAAGCCAGCCCCTAAGCCTGAGCTCTTATGATTTTCTACTGCCTCCCCTTTGTATCATTCCACAATGCAGAGCCTTGCCCAAAGCAGGTGCTCAATAAATGTTTGTTGAATGACTGAACAAGTGGAACCTTAACACAAGTGCTATCTCTGTCCTTCAACTACTCATATGTTACATTTTTACTACTTTCAGCATGTGTACACAATTGACCCTTGAAGTCCAACCCACCAGCCAATCATATGTTGAGGATTATGAGGTTGGATGGTGATGACAACTAACATTGACTGAGAGCCCACTATATGCCAAGAACAGGTCTAGGCCCTCTGACCCACATTAATTTGTTTAGTCCTCAGAACCTATTATCTACAACTTACAGAAAGGGAGACTGAAGCATGAAGTTGAGTAATTTGCCCAAGTTACTGATGAATGGAGGAACTAGGATTCAAACCCAACGTCTGGCTACAAAATCCATACTCTTGACTACTATTTCAGTCTCCTTTGCCCTGTCCCAAAACATCCAGAATAGCAAATATTTGCAGATGGATTGAAATAACATTCTTATTCCTGTCTAGTATCCTGCTCCCCCAAATGCCATTCTCTCAGTACACTGTGATGCTCCCAAGATTTTTCTGGCTAAGCATTGTGGTGCTTCAGATCCATAAGTATGGGGTACTGTACTAACACCAGGTATGAAAGAAAAAGCATTTTTCTATTCTGCAGAGAAACATTCCTCAAATTCCTTCGGTTCATTAAAAGCCATAGAGAATATTTTTTAAAAAGGAAATAAGTTTGGGCCGGCCCGGTGGCGCACTCGAGAGTGCGCCGCTTGGGAGCGCAGCAGCGCTCCCGCCGAGGGTTCGGATCCCATGTGGAGACCGGTTCCCGCTCACTGGCTGAGCGTGGTGCGGGCGCAACACCGAGGGTTGCGATCCCGTTACCGGTCAGTAAAAAAAGACAAAAAGGAAAAAAAAAAAGAAAATAAGCTTGGTAAAGCAGTTTAAGGCACCAGATAGATACACACAGTTGTCGATAAAAGATACATTCTGTCTTAAACTGCTAAGATTAGAAATCTGTTATTAGCACATAGTCTATGATACAACAGATTCCACAAAGTTCTATTTATTCATTTCTTCAGCAAGGGTGTCTGCAGTTCTCTTTCTAGGAGGCCCTGTTACCTGTACCTCAGACTTAACTTCACAGTGGGTCTAAGAACTTAAATAAGTGACCAGAGAAGTGAACTTGACAATACCATTGCACTTTGAAAGCGTAGTCTTCTCTGACAGATTGGCCACTTTCACTTTCCACTTAGCAACCGCACACCGGAGGAAAATAGGAAAAGAATCCACTTCTGTTTCCAATGAAAGGAAGGGAGTGGGGAGGGGCAACCATGATAGTTCCCTCAACCTATCCATGCCACAATCGTTTGGTCTAGAAGGGTCAGAAAAACTTGAAAAGCAACACTTCGGTGACAGGTGAACCACTGGTATCCTATTCTCAGACTGTGCAAACACCTGAATCACTGCTAACTCTACTAACCTGTTGTGGTCCACTTGCAAAACTCATTCCCAGGAAGCTGAGGTTTCACTGTATTTGAGGTCTCCTTTCCACTTCCTATGATTTTACACGCCTAAAGACTGACTTTATCTTCTTTCTCTATGTATGTTAAAGGATTCCATTTTGAATTGAGCAAAGAGAACTTAAACTAAAACAAGGAAAAGAAGAAAGTGCACTTTCCCAATTTCCACACCAAATCAGGGGACTACATTTACCAACTATAGGCTTGTAAAGGCTAAAATGTCTCAAGCTTTAGGGACTTTACTACTAAGCAAGACAAGACCTCAGAAACTCTGTTGAAGAGCTCACAGTAAAATATTTTAAAACCTCTCTAGGGTGTCTATTATATGCCAGCAGGTTAGCAGCTTTAACTGTTATTCCACTTGATCCTTATAGCAACCCTGTGGAGGTATATTACCCTCTTTTTCTAAAGAAACCGAGGCTCAGAACTGCAATATTAGCTACTGTTCACATAGCTAATAAGTGACAAAACAGTATTTGAAGCCAACGTCAATGCCACTGTCTACATCGTCGCTACCTCCGTGAAGTTTCATAAAGCTAAAAAATTAACTAGGGTAAAACCTTTTTTTTTTTAATCTTTAATATTTTCCTAAAATCTACAGCAATACAGCTACATAAGTTATCCTGTAATAATCATCAGGATCACATGGGAGAACATACTACCTTCTATACATACTCGTATTTAGTTCAAACCATCTGGGCATTAGGTTTTATTATTCTCAGTACAATAAATATATATATATATAAAAAAATAGAGGCCTGGTTGGTTAGCTCAGTTTGTTAGAGCATGGTTCTGATAACACCAAGGTCCAGGGTTCAATCACTGTACCAGAGAGCCGCCAAAAAATAATAATAATAATAAATAGAAATGCCATTTGCAAAACCATACTTTACCAACATGAAAAATGCACATACTCACCTTTGAGAAGTGCAACTGAGAGCTGATCAGTGTTCAGGTTATTGACATATTTCCCCAAATAGGTATTGAGAACCCAGGCTACAAGACCTTCCAACATGACTATATGCTTAGAAAAAGGTGTTTAAAGATCATTGATCATTCTTTATTTCTCTCTCCCATGGTCATGGGGGAATCTCTGAAAGAAAAAAAAAAAAATGGAAATCAACAGAAAAACTGGATAATTTTCTAAGCTGATTTCCTACTCTACCTGCCTGAAGGTGGATGAACACAAAGTAGATTTTAAAAAAGACAGGGTAAGGAGCCCTGTAAAATGTCCCCATCAATAAAAGGAGGACCAAACCAAATACATCTACATTTTAATGTAGCTGCAAGAAAGTCACCCTTATAAATTTACCAAAAATTACCTACAATTCAAAGTAGTGTATCTTTTCAATGTAACTGCTCATTGAACTCCTTACTTTTAGCAGTCTACCCTGGGATTAGACTGCCCTGATCAGAGGTTCCCATCTGGGTGTGACTTGACAATGTCTGGAAATATTATTTTTTTGGAGACATTTATTATTATTATGACTTCAGAGTCTACTATAGGCATCTTGTAAGCAGAGATCATGAAAGCTACTAAATATTCTACAATGCACAAGATAGCCCCCCCACAGCAAAGAATTAACCAGCCCAAATTTCAACAGAGCCAACACTGAGAAACCCTATCCTAGATTAAAGCAAAAATGCCCTAAGAGACTATATGAATGAAATTCACATTCTGCAATGATCCTCATTAAGGCTGCCCTAATTAAATTTTGCAAATTTGTTTATGAGGATCATTCATAAAATAATATAAAAAGGAGGAAGAAGGTAATGCTTTATCACTATTCTTAAATGTCCTGGAACTGCATTACCAGATGATGCTGATAGAATGAACCATCTTTAGTCAATAATTACAAACACCAGAAATCCTCTAATTCCAGCTACAGTATTTAGATTCAGTACTGAACTACTACTGCCTGTTATAATAACTGGTGTTTATAAGTATTACAAAAAATATATAGTTTTTAGTATTATAAAAAGTTAACATGAGGGAAATTGAGGCACAAAAGTTTAAATGTGTTCTCAGATCACTCAGCTAATAGATCCCAATTTGAACTGTGAGCTCCAAATCTTGCTCTGAGCCACCCACGTCGGTCATCAGTCAAGATGCAGAACACTCCAGATTTGCTATGGCATGCATCCTACTTGGAACCAATCTACTTTCAGGATCCTTTCCAAGCACTCTGCCCCTCTAGTCAATCATCTTAGTGCCAGAAGATAAACTTATCCCAAAGGAAGAGTTAATTCAATCTCCAGAAAAGACTGACTTTTATTTGTCAACAGTATCTTGCACTTCCAGACAAGATTAACTGTTTCTTTTTTAGCAGCTGGCCAGTATGGGGATCCGAACCTATGATCTTGGTGTTATAAGGCTGCACTTTAACCAACTGAGCTAACCAGCCAGCCAAGATTAACTTTTATTTGTCAAAAATTACAGTAAAAAGAAAAAAATAGTGGCTATCCAGTTAGCTCAGCTGGTTGGAGCACGGTGTTATAACACCAGGATTAAGAGTTCGGATCCCCATGTCGGCCAGCTGCCAAAAAAAAAACACGAAAAAAAATAGCATTTGGTAAAATAATTGCCTAATTTCCTTCCAAAGATACTTGTTAAGTCTAACAATTATGTCAAAGTAGGAATCTGCTAGGGATTATTGGGTACATTTGTTTAAAAAAGAGCTTACAAAAACAAATTTTTAAAAATAAGAAATGTTTAACGCCTGAGTAAAAGTAACATTTCCCTATTGTCACTCTAAACAAGTAAACCTGTGAAAACAAAATGTGAAACTGCCTAGTCTAGTCTGACTATATGTACTCCAAACACACTAAGGCAAGGAGCCAAAGTCAGAATACTCTTTATTTTTGGAATTATGGCCACTAATTTCGGCTCTAAATGCCAATATTCTTTGAAGTGCCAAATACACATGCTCTCCCAATAAACGATTGGGAGTTTGTACACAAGTTCAAGTTCTACTTACCCTGACGGTAGAAGAAAGCAAAACAGACTTTAAAAACATGGGTGATTAGCACTACGTAAGATGCCCTAGTCAGAGGCCCAAGCCAAAAAGCATCCATTAGTTCTGCTAAGCATCTAGGCCGGGCTTGAGGCCGCTTCAAGGATTCCCTTAAGGAATCCAGTGTCAGGAAGGGCCGCCAGACCGGCCAGAATCCCCAAGTGTTTACACTCCATTCGGTCCGTCAGGGTATCTAGGCAGCTGCCTGGCACTAACCCCCACCTGGCCTCTCCTCCCGGGTGGGACAGGTGACACTGGGGATTTGTGCTCAGCCCACAGACGGGCAGACAGCCGGCATGACCTTGAGCCAGGCCCCTCCCCCGAGGAGCGGCCAGACCCGGGAATAGGAAGGACTGGCGACTGGACCCGGGCGTCCCTCCCCGAGGCGGCCCGGGCTGAGCGCTGCCGGCGCCAGGGAGCTCCGAGACAAGTGGACGGGGGCGGGTGTCCAGCCAGTGGCCCCACAGGAACAGGACTGTCCAGGAGGCGAGCTTCCCACAGCCCTCCCGCCGCCCCCTCTGTTCTCAGAACTCTAAGCCTCCCTCCAGGGGACGGAGATTCCACCTCCTAGAGAAAGCCCGGAGGGAATGGAGCCGGGGGTCCCACACCAGGACCGAGGGGCTCAGCCAGGGCGTGACCCCGGGGGGCGAGGGGCAAAGACAGGCTTAAGGCTCCACGTCCCCATCCTAGAGCGTGACACCCGGGGGGGGGGGGCCGGTTAAAGAGGGTGGTTAAGACATTCTAGAGAACTGAGGGACACCCCATTCTTGGGCGTAAGGTGGGGGGCTCGCACACTGCGGTCCCGCATTAAGACTGAAGCTCAGACGGATAGACGCGAACTGACACACCCCCCCAATCCCCCATCCCAGGGCGCCGAACTGCGGGGACCCTGGAAAGGGGCCCGGGGTCTGCCAGGGGCTCGGACTCCGCTAGATACGGACGCCGGGGTCCTGGGAGGCTCAGCCAGCCCCGAGCCTATGCCCGGGCTGCCCGCGCGGCCTCGGACGCAGGGGTCCCCGTGAGAGCGGCGGGCCCGGGGCCGTCTGGGGCGCGAACGCCCCAGAGCTTCCCGGGGTAGCTCTGACGGCCGGAGGGCCGGACGCCGGGGTCCTCAGGCTCCCAGCGTCGCGTTCCCCGAGGGTGGGCCGGGCCCCCAGGCCTGAGGCGGGGCCTGAGCGGCCGACCACGGCTCCGCGCGGGCCCTGCGGGCCCCGGCCCTGCCCGCC